CCTTAAATCAGACACACATAGGCAAACATTGAATTGTCTCACTATTGTGAGAAGCTGAAAGAAACAATATGTATATATAAACAGTATGTCCCTTGTTAGTATAGTGGTGAAAAAAAAAAACAGTATGTGCGTACATATATGTATAAAATGCAATGTATGAGCCAGGCGTGGTAGCTCATGACTGTAATCCTAGCACTCGGGAGGCTGAAGTGGGAGGATCCTTTCAAGTTTGAGACCAGCCTGGGCTGCAAAGTAAGCGCTCAAGGCCAGCCTGAACTGCATAGCAAAACCCTGTCTCAAAAAAAAAAAAAAAAAAAAAATGCAATGTATATACTATTGTTTGAAATTTTATTTTTCTCTTCAAAATAAAAGATTCGGGGGCTGGGGATTTAGCTCAGCGGCATAAGCGCCTGCCTTGCAAGTGTGCGGTCGTGAGTTCGATCCCTGGTACAGATAAAAACGAAAAAGACAAAAAAATAAATAAATAAAAGATTCAAAAAAAAAAAGAAAAGAAAAAGAAGCTGTCATCCTGAAGTTAACTGAAAAGTGCTTATGAATGGCTTTGAGAATACAACAAAATTGTGAAGTAAGATGCCCTTTCTCACCCAACATTCCTGTTGTAGGTATCTCTTCCTCCTACTGTTCTGGACAGGAAACTGCTGGAAGGGAATTTTACAGAAGTAATGATGGTCCCAAGTCAGTGGGGACCTTACGGCAGGGAAATCATCCTGACAGAATCACAGGCGGCCTCTAATGTGGGTCTAGACAGCACACTGGCACACACCTATGATCCAGCACTCTGAGGAGGAAGAACACAAGTTCAAGCCCAAAGCCAGGCAGGGTAACAAAGTGACTTAATAAAACCTTGACTCAAAAAAGAACTCACCTCACAGGGGTAACCTGCCCTCCCTAGGAAGATAGAGGTGTCGCAGCTCTTCCTTCACCTGGGACAGTACTGGGCTGCATCGCTATGGCCTGCCCTATGGGGACAGGGGCTGGACACCAATGTCTAGGTTATGCAGTAAAGGAAAGGAACAATCTGTGGTTTAAACTGAGGTTAAGTGAGAGCACAACTGAGGAAATAATATCTACTTCACATATGCACAGAACTCAGCCTAAACTGTTTGTTTCATGGATTTTCACATATTGACGTTACTGTTTTAAGTGTGGATACCACACCAACAATATCTGCAAAGCACAGATTCATACTGTTTTCATCTGTCCGCAAATATTAGTTAAAACTAAAACAAACCAGGCATAGTTGCTCACACCTGTAACTCCTGCTACTTTGGAGGCTAAGGCAGGAGTATCAAAAATCCAAGCCCAACTTGGGCAATTCAGTGAGACTCGATTTCAAATAAACTAAACTACGTTCTAGCACCCATCCTTTTGTTTTTGTTTTTGTTTTTTGTTTTTGGCTTGCTAAGGTCACAAAATTGCCGAGGGTGGGGTACAGACTTATCATGCCCATGCCTCAGCCTCCCAAATCCTGGGATTACAGGTCTGTGCCACCACACCTGGCTTCAATCCCTATCTGGACTCCAGTCCCGCATCTCAGCTCTCCCACAACCACTTCACATCTATAATATCCAAAAGCAAACACCATTTTCCTCCTCCCATTTTCCCTACCTTGCTGGGTGTCACCAGCTAGTGAGTCACCAAATTAAAGACAAGGAAGGGACTCCAGATGCATTTCTTCAGCAAACACTTACAAAGCGCCCACTGGCTGCCAAGCACTGACACTGAGTCCTCCCCCTGTGGACACCAGGATGCTGGAGGAGACAAGACAACAATGTGGGAAGCTGACAAAGCAAAACCACACAGCATGAGGCAGTGAGATGTGCTAGAGAAAGTCAGGCAGAGCAGGGCTGCTGAGTGACGCCCAAGCTCTGCAGACGCCTAGGTGTGCGATCCGAGAGGTCCAGAGCAGCCAGAAGAGGGAGACAGGGTGGTATGAGAACCTCTGTAGAGGAGCGAGATGGCCCAGGCCGCGGCACAGGCTGATACAGACACAAATCTAGAGTCCCTGCCACCATCGCCTTCCTTACATCAAGGCAAGTCCACCAGACCCTAAACCTCTCGACCCACCTGCTCCTCTGTGCTTCCTGTTGCTACCCTAACCCAGCTCCAGGGCCACACCTGGGGTGAATGGCTTCCTAACTAGCTCATCCCAGTTCAAAGCTACTGCCCGCTCGCTGCCTTTCTGTTTTTCTTTGCTTTGTTTTGTTTGCCAGGTGAGGGATAGAACACCCAGTGCAGGCTAGACCCCTGCTTTACCACCAAACTACACCCTGCAGCCCCAGCCCCTGCCCCTGCCTTTTCAAATGCCACCGGCTTCTTCCTGTTGTGACCTCCACCAAACCACACACACACACACACACACACACATGGCAGGAGGCCTTTCCCAGCCTCCTCTTTCCCTCAGACCCCAACTCCACTGACACAGCTCAACTACAGCTTGCCTCAGGCCTTATTTCCTCCTGTCAGGCCACAGCTCCAAAGCCATCCCTGACACCTTTCCAATTCCATTAGCTCTTCCTTTCGGTGTCTGAGGAGTGGGTAGGTCTCTAACCTCTCAGCTGGGTCTGCCCAAGCCAGACTACCAGCCAGCTCTTGTATCTCCACATCTCCAGCCACTCAGTACAGTACCTGCACTTCAATGGGTTCCCAAAAGTCACTTAAGGCCATGCTTGGTTGATCATTTTTATTCTGTGCCTGAAACATGAAGCAGACTTCCTCAGATTTCTGATACTCCAGGCATCCCCTAAGAACTAGTTACATTCACTCAACTTTTTTTTTTTTTGTACTGGGGGTCAAACTCACAACCTCTTGCTTGCAGGCACATGCTGTGCCACTGAGCTATATCCACAGCCCAACTCAACTTTTTCGAGACAGGATCTTGCCCAGGTTAGCCTTGAGTTGTTGATCCTCCTGCTTCAGCCTCCCAAGCTCTGGGATAACAAGCATGAACCACAGTGCCCAGCTCATTCAACTTTTGATGTTTGTGTTTCTAGATTCATTTTTAAATGATCATCTTTCCAGATCACCTATAGCCCTTTAGAAAGCTATGTATTGGGCTGGGGATTTAGCTCAGCGGCATAAGCGCCTGCCTTGCAAGCAGGCAGTCGTGAGTTCGATCCCTGGTACCGATAAAAAGCAAAAAGACCAAAAAAAAAAAAAAAAAAAGAAAGCTATGTATTGCCTTTTCTTTTTTCCAGCATTACAAAATGTGCTTAGATTGTATAAACTTTTCAAAGTGTAAACAATAAAACAACTGTAGTTTTTATTATGAAATATTTAAGATACTGTGTCTTTCCCCAGTGGCTTTCACTCCTTCGCTGGGTAAGTCTCCATCCTGATCCCAGTGTGTGTCTTTTTATCATCCTGGGCATTGTAGAGTTTTTGTGGATTTGCTTTTGGGTGATTTTGTTTTGTTCTGGTTTTTTTTGTTTTTGTTTTTGTTTTTAGCACTGTGGAGCGAATCCAGGGCTTTTAGAATAAGCTACATACCCAGTCCTTTTTAATGATTTTTTTCTTTTTTCTTTTTTCTTTTTTTTTTTTTTTTTTTTTTTTTTTGGTCTTTTTGAGGCAGGGTCTCACTATGCAGTTCAGGCTGGCCTTGAGCTTGCTTTGTAGCCCAGGTTGGTCTGAAACTCATCATGATCCTCCTGCCTCAGCCTCCTGAGTGCTGGGATTATAAGTGTCCACCACCACGCCCAGCTTTATTTTTTTTTTTTTATTTTAAATTTCCAAAGGCGGGGGTTCCTCTAAATCAAGTTACCTAGGCTGGGCTGCAACCCACAATCCTGCCTCAGCCTCCTGAGTGCTGGAATTACAGGCCTGCACCACGCCCAACAGATGACAGAGGCCGCTGCAGTGAGGTCACTACCAGTCCCATGCCACCACACCACTTGGTACCATCACACAGCTGCCAGGCTCAACTGCAACATGATGCTGCATTCTCTGATGACTTGGAGAGCGCCTGCCCTCCCGACACAACTCCACAGGTTCTGATATCAAAAATTTAGGATCACGCTACTCTCAGAAATACTTAGAAAACAGAACAATGAGTCAAATTTCCCACCACAACTGGGGGTTGCGGCAGGTCTGTAAAAGAACGAAATCCATAACTGTAATGCACTTCGGGCGCTTAAGAAGGTCACTCCAATCCCCTAATGGGTTTTCTCGGACCTCATATGGTGTATTAAGAACTGATTCTGATCAAAGGCTTAGTCATGATGAACAACAACCACAAAAAAAAAAAAAAAAAAACAGAAAAAGAAAAAAAGGAAACAAGCCTTGGGATTTGACTAACACAAAGAATCAAATATGCAACTGTCCTTTTACATATCAATTTAAATCACTTTTCTGTGATATTTTTGCAAGTCTCCATTATTGCTTAACGTGCAAATTCTTAACGTATCTAAATAACATAGCAAGCGGCACCAATTCTGCCACAATACACCTGGAAATGGCCTCAAATCTTTACCCCATCATGCAGTAACTTCTCTTTTTAAATTTAAATTTTTAAGGAAAGGGGGCACCCCATGCGACACGGAAAACACTCCAAGCCAGGGGCTGCTGCACGCCGCGTGTCGGGCGCCAGAGGAAAGGACCGCCCGGAGCGAGGGGCCGGCCGCGCGGTGACAGCGCGTCGCCCGGGGCGCTGCCGCCCAGGCGGGGGCCGGGAGGAAGGGACAAAGGCGGCGGCCGGCGCCCCATCACTCCTGGCGGCCGCGACGCCGCAACTATATCGAGAACGGCCTCCCCCGCCGCCGGACCGGGATGGGACCTGGGAGGACGCAGACAGGGGGGGACAGGGACAGTAGCGTTGGGCCGGAGGGACACATGAGGGGACAGCGACCTCGGCCCGCGGGGCGCTGCGGGGAGGGACCCGGGGAGGGGTCGGGGCGGGGGCCCGGACTGGACCGAGGCAGGACGCGGGACGCCGGGCGCGGGTGCGGCCGGGGACGAGGCCCCGGGCGCGGTCGCACACTCACCGTCCGGTCGGCGGCTGCGCTGTCGCGCTGTCCCTGGGAGCGGCGGTCACGAGCAGGGGGCGCCTCCGCGGCCGCCCCGCAGCATCCTCTGCCGGCTCTGCTCCTCAGCCTCGCGCCCGCTCGGAAAATGGCGTCGCCGGGGCCGCGCCCGCCCCACAATGCCCTGCGCCTTGACGTCAGCTCCCTCGCGCCGCCGGGCGGGGCTGGGGAAACTGATGCGGGGTCTCTGCGGGGACTACGAGCGGGTGCGGGTGCGGCTGTGGGCCCGGAGCGGTTTGGGGCGCAGCTGGCCTGCAGCGGGCGATACCTCACGAGCCCTGATGTCCGGAGAGCAGTCGGCGGCCTCGTCCCCAGGCCCCTGCGGCCCCGCCTCGGGGACGGCGCCTGCGCCTGCACCCAGCAGCCTGCAGGTCCACGCACGATCGGGGAGCAGGTGCTCCGGGCTCCATGCGGCCCCGGCCACTTGGATCTCCCTCTCTCCCCTCATCTGCCCTCCCCCTCCACCTTGTCGCTCTCCCTCCTTCTCTCTGCATGTTTGCAGTTCATAATAATTGCACTCATCATGGGGAGTTGGTGCATGCACACAACACATCACAGTTCTTTGTTTCATTCCCTTTCCCTCTTGATCGCCTTTATAAATGCAAATATGGGTCAGCAAAGGAGACGACTCGTGGAGAGCCGGTGGGCCAGGGTCGGCGACCCCTCCCCGCAGCCCTCAGTGATCCCGGACAGCCTGCAACCCTGGGCGCAGCCGCAGCTGCTGTCGCCAAGGCACCACAAAGGATGTCGCTCAGAGAAGAGCCGGTTGGAGAGGAGCTGTGCTCCTTCAGTGCCTGTGGGGTCAGTCACTGCCCTGCTGCTCTTGGCGCTCCAGGGAGGGACTCCAGCCGCCAGTGCCCTCTGCTCTCTGCTGCTCCTCTGCCAAGATGCTCAAGACCCTCCCACCCCCTTGACATTTCCCTCATCCATCTCACTGCCACTGCTTTGTTCGGGCTTTCATGTCTCCTTGCTCTGTCCCGTCACCCAGTGACTATGGGCCTCACTTGTAACCAGCGGGATTGATAAGATCCCTGCTGGGGGGCGGGAGGGGAGTATCACAGACCAGTCAGGAAACCCCCAACCTTGCTGAGAATTAAAGTAAGATGGCACAACAGGCGGGGTCCTGCAGGCCAACCCTGAAGTGAGCCAGCCTTACAAAGTCAGCCTGCAGTATTGGCAGCAGTCTCCAGTCAGAACCCAGCCTGCAGTGCTGGGGGAAGGGGAAGATTCAAGTCATCCACCACACCCGCTCCTGCCGGCCTCAGCCCCTCAGCCCGGTGCCTGGCTGCCTGGCGAGGTCCCCAGCTCTGAGGCCCACCGGACTGGATGCGCTGGCCCCTGCTGCTCTGTCCCAAGTACACCTTGCCCTCCCACACTACCATGCCCCTTGACAGTTTGCACTGTGCCTATAATGTTCTCTGTCCTCCTTGTCCCCATGGCATCCAAGGCTCAGTTCCTCCAAGAAGCTGCCCTGCCTGTGCCAGGCTGGCCCCTTGTCCCTGGCATCGTGGGCATGGCTACCTCTCCCCTCAGCTTTGCAGGCACTAGAACCGGAAAGGCCTGTGTCCTCCTCGCCCCACAGGCCTCCCCAGCATCCAACCTGTAGCTGACACAAATGGAAGAGACAAGATGATGTTGTCATACCCCTCTGACTCCTGCCATCATCTTCAGGACATCCTGAAAGCCCGAGCAGCTGAAGTTGGGCCTGGGTGCTGTCCAGGGTCAGAAGATGGAGACATCCTGCTCCAGGGACCCGAATCCCTGCAGCTCCAAAGAGGCCTTAGGGAGGCACAGAGGCCCCAGTCCTCCTACCAGGGCCCCCTGACGCTAGTCAGTGCCCCACTCTGAGCACCTTTCAACCCTTCCAGCAGCTCCAAGAGACCTCCTTGTCCCTACTTTACAGAGACTGCTGCCGAGGCCTGCTAGTTCTAGTGATTGCTTCCTGTCGGCAGCAAAGGAGGTGTTGCTCAGCCTTAGGAGTAAAAGGAAGCCCCTCTCTGTTCTAGTGCGGGCACTGGTAGTATCAAGAAGTCAGTGTTCCCCAGTGGGGTGGGAAAGACTCCACACAGGGCCACTCCAGGCAGCGAGCTGGGGTTAGACCCTGGACAGATGCCGGGGTGACCATGGTGGACCCTACACACTTGTCTATGCAGATCCCAAAGCTAGCTGAAAGACCAGGGGACAGCAAAGCCAGTCCCGCAGCCACCCTCCATGAGCAGGGAGCAGGCAGCCCACACGCCGCAGGTGGGCTCCCCTCTCCCTCCCCATCGGCCTTCTTCCTGCCTCCATCTTGTTCACCGCCCTCCTCCAAAACCTGTGGAGAAAACAGGCCACGGCTGCTACAAGCTGGAGCTGCTGATTCGCAGGCAGTGACCTCCCCAACCCTGGGTCACAAAGAATGAGAGGTGCACACCCATCCATCCAGGGTCAGCTTCCTTCTACAACCTGCTGGGCTCCGGGGCCTCAGAGCTAAGCGCAGAGCATGAGTCTCATACTCATTCTGTCCCAGTTTGTACTAAGAGATGTGAGCATGGATAGGCAGAGTGCTGAGACCAGGTGGTCCAGAGAGGCTCACCTGCAGTAGGGGGGACCGGCTGGTGGAAGATCCCAGAAAGAAAAGCTCGACAGAACACAGGCTCTCGCGGAGCAGGAGCAGTAATGGAACTGAAAGTAACCTTTTAAGCTTTTGTTCTTTTCTTTCTTTTTTTCAGTACTGAGGTTTGATCCCAGGGCCTTTGCACTGAACTACATCCCCAACCTTTTTTTTTTTTTTTTTTAAATTTTGGACTGGATCTTGCTAAATTACTGAGGTAGGCTTGAACTTGCAATCCTTCTGCCTCAGCCTCCCAGACCAGTGGAATTGCAGGAGTATGCTACCACTTGTAACTGCAGTGTGAAACAGAGGCTTCAGGGGCAGCCCTTTGGGACGGACACAGAGGCTGGGGCTTCCCCTGGATCCTGAGGGGTCTGCAGGCCAGGGGCGCAGCTCAGTCCACAGTGACTAAAGAGGGAAAGGGAAAAAAGAGAGGGAAGGGGGAGGGCGAGGGGAGAGCAGGAAGGGCAGAGGCTGCAGCAGGAGCGCTCAGGGCTGTCTTGAGGCCAGGGGGGACCTGGGGTGGTGGGGACAGCACAGGGGGCTCCACGTGTGGTCCCCTCTCCCTCAGCCCGAAGCCTTCCCGAGCTGGGCAGGGCCGCCAGCCTGGCATCCGGACTGGGCTAATCTGGGCTGTGTCCTGCCTTGCCCTGGCGGGCCGCAGGTCACACCCTTCCTGGCCTTGGGCTTTAGGCTAAAAATGGAAGTTATGCACTTTCCTGGGCGTCTTTCCTTCCCACAGCAGGCACTGCCCCGCGGCCCAGCTTCCCTTGGGATGAAGTGGCGGGTGGAGGGGAATCAGGGCCGGCATAGATGAGGACACCCTGCAAGCACAGCAGCACCCGGCTTTCCTGGGGACACCCGAGAGTCCCCAGGGCCCTAGAGCATGGAGCCTGGGGTCGCCAGCCTGTAGACCCAGGGTGCTTCCTCCACCCGTGCACAGGAAGCCCAGGGCTGGCAGCTGTCCCCTCTCGTGGCCCTGGGGGACCAGGTGCTGACTGCCCCAGGACAGCCGGAGCCCAGGTGTCTGGGGCCACCAGGATGAGGCCATCTCAGCCACACAATGATGGGCTAGCCAGAGTGACTCCCAGCGACGCCCAGAGTCCCAGGGGCCTCTCACACCGGGCTTCCTCAGCCATCTGGAAAGGCCTGGGCCCTGCCTGGCTGTAGGGTGGGTGAGTGGTGTGATCCCATTAGTTTGGTTTTTGTTTTGTTTGCTTGTTTGTTTTGAGCCAAGGCCTTACTATGCAGTTCAGGCTGGCCTTGAGCTCACTTTGTAGCCCGAGGTAGTCCTGAATTCACAAGGTTCCTCCTGCCTCAGCCTCCCCAGTGCCGGGATGACAGACATGTGCAACCCTGCCCTGCTGAACCCAGGTCCTGATGGGGAACTAAGCACCTACAGGGGTGGACCCCACAGCGCCTGGCTGTAAAACATCTGAATCCAGAAGAGCCCCACAAGCTCTCCCCAGTGCGATGAAGCCAGAGTCCCCTCTCGAGTTCCTGTTCCCTCTGGCTCGTTTCCTCTGTATTTATTTCAGAGTAAATAGTGGAGTTCAGTGTCCACTGGGTCCTGAAAATGCACACTGTCCAGGCTGGGCCCCGGCCTGCAGCGGCTGTGGGTTGCTCGCTGGTTCACTTTAGCAAGAGAAAGAGGCTGCGGTGAAGGGCAGCAGAAGGTTTCCATCAGATGGAGCCCTCACCCAGCACAGAAACCCACCTCAGGGGGCTGGGGATTTAGCTCAGCGGCATTAGCGCCTGCCTTGCAAGCAGGCAGTCGTGAGTTCGATCCCTGGTACCGATAAAAAGGAAAAAGACAAAAAAAAAAAAAAAAAAAAAGAAACCCACCTCAGCCCCAAACTGTCAGTCTAAAGAAGGTTTTCATTCCAGTTACTGAAGAACCCCTCGACTCTTTGGGCTGACTTGTTTGTTTGCTTTTGATTTTGTTTTGAGAAAGGGTCTCACTATGAATTACGGCCATCCTCCTGCCTCAGCCTCCAGGTGCTGGGAGGATTGACCGGCCTGACCCACTATGCCCAGCCTTGATCGAAAACTCTGAAATCTGTGGAGGCGGCTCTGGTTCTGGGTCATAACTGACTGCTGGATTCCCAAAACAAGGACTTGGCTCAGCATTAAGTATGGCAAACCCCTTGACTTCCATTTTATGTCTGTGAATTAATTTTGTTGTAAAATATGCAATAAACATTTCCTTGAAGGAAACTAACCTTAAAAATAAGTAGTTTGTTTTATAATTAATAGCATTTCCTTTATAGAACGTTTTTCACAGTGCAGAGCTGGGGATGGAGCCGGCCCCTGGACCACTGAGCAGCAGCCCTGGCGAATTTTCGGCTCCTGTGTGTTCCTCCAGTCCAGCTGGACATCTTGCTGTGCTAACCGGCACTCACATACCCATCTTTGTGCAGTGTCTGCTCACGTCTTTCTTTCTTTTTTTCTTTTGGACAGGGTGTCACTAAGTCATTGTGTGCCCAGGCTGGCCTTGGGCTTGCCGTCTTCCCGCCTCAGCCTCCCAGAGTGCTGGTATCACAGACATGTGTTTGTCATTTTC